ATATGTATTGCTTTTTCTGCTCATTTGGCAGAGATGAGCATACACGCAAATACTGTCACCTCCCGCCTTCTTGGTCAGCCGATGGAATTAAAAGAAAATTTTTCTTATCTTCAAACTAGTAATGTTTTCCTAGTGTTTTTAGGGTGGCTATCTGACCGTTCGTATTGTATCTACACATAAATGCAGAGGGAATTGCTTGCCCGGTAATCTCTGTTCTTGACAATAACATTGTTCTAAGCTAGTGCCCAAAGCGGATTCATAGGGGACCAAATGAGCTTAGTCCAATTTGTATTGATTGGATTGATGATTTGCGGAGAATATTTTTACCTGTTGTTCACTTTCCGAACACTTTACTGTTTCGAAGAAGATTGTGTAACATAACAGGTTTTTGAATTCTCATCACAGTAATTGATATACTATGGGTTAAACAATAAACGCTGTCTGGGAGGGAACTCCAATCAAGGGTTCATAACCGTGATCAACTCATTTGCAATCAAAGTCAAACTCGCGCGGTAACGGGAATTAACGATGCCAGTGTCTCCGTAGTTTTTCTGTCCCATGTCGCATTGACATTATTGACAGTAAAGAAAACACGTTTCTAACAGCACGAAGATTTATCTCGTTCTCTGCTTTAGAAAATCTCCTTCGAAAACTAAAGCCGTTTCGGAGCACCCATTTACCAGTTTGGTCAGTGGCCCCTCAGAACTCGCAAATCAACCATTCTTACCGGATTCCACACTTACTGGCGGAGACGGTACGAGTAGTAGCGGTTATGAGACACTTGATTCCACTCATGTCTATTCCGTGGATCCGATACTAAATAAACAACCAACTAGCTCATTCGATTTGAACCGCGAACATCTGACTCCACTCAAGATGACTCTTGTCCAGGAGACTGTCACAGACACAAAGCTGGAAAACAAGTTACTTCGAAGTGAGGTATCATCACTGAGTCAAGATGTGTCTGGATTACTCAAACGTAATCACAAGGTAATGGAAGAAAACAAGGAATTGCGTGGTCAAGTAAGTTATGGCGCGCTATCAATCTCGTATTGGTGCTGCACATGTGCACCGAACTTCTTTTCGATTACCGAACATGATTGATTAAGACTGTGTTAGCCGTTTGGTATTCGTCGCGTCAATCTGCTAATTGTGTGATCGAATACCGTCGTTTCCCTAATCCGCTGTTTTTTTAGCCTAACGGACTATGAGTCCTTCACCTCGAGAATCCTCCATACTCATGGTTTGCCTCACAAACGATGGATAAAAAATCCCATAGCCCAGCCACTTTCACACTCTCCAAATAAGTCATTCTTATGGGCAAGGTTTTACTCACTTAATTAACGATGCTCCCAATGATAATAAAAAAATTTATCCCAAATTCTTGTCGCTTTTAAATGGATACTTATTTGTCTGTAAGCATAGGGTACAAGAATATAATAATAGTAAAGATTGTCCGATTGAATAGCGTGTTGTTTTTTCTCTGTAATGCATTGTACTAGCATCACGCACAACGTTCAGGGTGTTCCTTTGGAAACA